CCATGACTCATCAGCAGAGACCTGAACCTAATAAAAGGAGGACAGCCATGGAAATGCAGCAAATTTCATGAGCTGCTTCTTGTCCTGTTACCACCACAGGACCAATGTTTCCTAAGATTTGTGAAGGGTGAAGTCAAAAAAAACAACAATAACATCACAACAACGTTTGATCCCTAAGGGATCTTAGGGACCTGTCTGAGAACAACTTTGTCATTTCAATCAAGACGAATCCAGAAGATGTACTGAGGACTGTCAGTAGCTGGCATCCTTCATCTGCCATGTGACCCTGGTCAGTCCACTTGGATACGCACATTTCGGTGCCTCTGACAAAGCATGCACGCACGTGTTGATGGATAGGGTCTATTTGCTTAAAAAGCTAAATAAATTATCTTCCCCTTTCTAACCAGTCTTGATTTTTTGCAATAGTTCCCACAACAGTACTGTAGAATCAGGCTATAAGTGTGGTTATGTAGTTTAGTTTTTCAGGCACATAGGATAGTCTCTCTAATATTTAGTTACGTGCCGTTATGGGATACTGACCTTGTAGGTTAACACTAGTGCTTATTTGCAATTCTGTCCAATGTACATTCGCAGAAGTATCACAGTAGTACTGCTCTTCCCCCTTAACTTACATCCGTGGGTCTGAATGTCCATTTAAACTAAGCAAGCCTCTAACATTAATTTCTTCTTTTGAATAAATTGCACAAGAAGGTAAAATGTTAGGTGGTCTCGTCAGTGGTTTCACTGGCTCTTACCACCAATATAAGCACTGGTGCTATTTGTCACACTAAGCTCTGTGCTGACATATTGCTATATGAAATGCATGAAAATATGAAAGCCCGGGGTCTAAGGATGCTGAAGAAAACTCAGATGCCTTTCCAAACTCTTAAACTACTACCCAGCAAAGGCAGAAGATCACAAACCTCACAGCTGCTGAAGAAGTAGCCGACCATACGGGGAAAGTATATTCTGAAGTGCTGAAGAGGCTTCCATAGTGCCTGCTTTGGAAACATTCCTGGGACTAAATTCAGATAACTGGTAAAAAAATGCAGGCTCTTGTCTGACTGCTTCAAAGACAGTCATGTGAAAGAAACCACTTCTGCAGATGGAACCACTGCAGGAAACTAGACTCACTAATAGTTTGAGAAGTGCTTTGAACGGGCAATCCTGGATTTGAATTCCCATGGTTGAATCCACATCTAGAAACCTTTCTCTTCATCCTGCTCTTTAGAGATGCTGGATATCTAGCAGTCTCTATGATGACATTTATGCATATATCAGAGATTCGTTTTGAGGATACAGTGACAAGCCAACTCCACCCTGTCTTCATCTCCTATATTTTGGTGGTGGTCTGCACTTGGACCACAGTGTGACATGGTGCTGATGGCCAGAGATGAGCAGTGGTTGGTACCACCCGTAGCTGATGGGTTACACATCTGCCATTATGAAGAACTTGGAAGAGGGATACAAGGCAGATCATTTAGCTGAGAAACAGTGAACTGAAGACTGTAATTGTTTCCAGGTCCACTGAAGGAGGATGTAGTAGATGATGCACTTACTTAGGGATATGGTTTAGCAGGTACAGTGTTGAAAGGCTTATGGTTGGACTCTATTATCTTGAAGGTCTTTTCCAACCATAATGATTCTATGATTCTGAGACTTATTGCAGTTAGAGACCACTTAGGAGTGGTCTATCTCTACAATGTTGAGAGGAACTGGATGGTGCACAGAATACCATTTTTTTCATCCACAGGACATTTTTTCAGTTCTTTTAAGATGGGCAGAGGAATTGCTCTTCTTTAGAAAGAAACAGGTGAAGTCCATCTTAGCTTGTTTCGAGTGGGTAGAGACAAAAAATAAACTAATGAAGCCTCACCCACCATAGGAAAGGTAGAGCCCACGCGTGTGGTCCCTGTGTGCTGATGGTTGCGGCACTCATAGCAGATTACAGCTTGGAGAATGCAAGGTGCAACATCCGTGTTTTGTAGAAGTCAGAGAGCTGAGTGTGTTTCATAACTCACATACCGTGCACATTGACTATAGCTGATATGAGCCTCTGAAATCCACCTAGCCCGTGTATGTGCAGGAAATGTTTAATCAAGCAGTGGATCAGATAGCCATAAGCTTAGCCAGGTCTTTGGGGTGGTCCCCAAAGAGCTGCAGAAAGGCAGTGCTTACCACATCATGTGATGGAGATGGACAACAAGCATATTTGCTCCAGGCAGTATATGCAACTTCAGCAAAACAGAGGCACCAGATGAACTCTGCTCTGCAAAGCAGTGTCAGGATGTCTTGTAAAGCTGGCAGAGAATCAGTTCTCTCTGGCCGTTCTTCAGGGACTCAGAGTTGGCTGTGAGAGCAGGCCTAGTCTGTTCCTTGCCACAAGAGTCCTCTCAATGGGCATTTCGAAGGTCTCTGGGAGTTAAGAAATGACCCTTTAGAAACCAAAGGTTTTGGCTACAGTTATCCTGAGCTTAAGGTGCTGCTCCATAGCTGAAATTCCTGATGGCAGCAGCACTCTGGCTGCTTTCTGAAGCACAATCCTATGCCAGCATGAAAGTCATTGCCACAAGGTGAAGCAGAGGAAGTTACCAAAGATAAGACCAACCAATGTGCACCTCGTTTAATTGGAGGGCTCATGCTGTGGTCTGGCATGTCACCAACATTCCAGGGCCCTGACACAACATACTCTTTTTAACACCGGTGTTAATAGAGCCACTGTCATTCATGCCACTGGCCGGATCAGATACGACATTGGGCTCCATCTGGTAACGTATTCTCTACCTCCTCATCTCATTTTGCATTGGAGTTGCAATGCAAAAGGCATTGGTTGCTATTTTCTCGCAATTTGCTTCTTCTTAACATTGTAGAGTGAGTTACTGTGAGCACTGGGATTATTTCCTTGGACAGAAGGGGTACCTTGTGGTATGGGAGAGCAAATAGAAAGAGGGAGAAGAAAGATAACCATCTAGCTGCTGAAAAAAAAAAATGCAGCTAGCTCAGCTGAGCAGAACTTAAGCAAACTTCTAAGCTAAGCATTATAAATCACATAATAATAATACATGAATTGTGCTTTAAGAATAGATCTGTGCTCAGGACAGGAAGATCCGACACGATGAAAAGCTTTCTGATGTTTTCTGGATATATTTGTTTAATAGACTGCCTTCCTACAAGTCTCCATGAGATTCAATACATAGGATGCTTGTGTGAATTGTGGTTTACGATTGCAATAGTTAAGCCATAAAAAAAGTAAAAGTATGGACAAAACCATAACCGTTCCAACCTAAATGTTTTGCATGCATAGTTCAAATATTTACTTATCACTCATGTATTATTATGACCTGTTGAAAAGCAGTTCTGCAGAGAGGGATTTGGGAGTCCTCGTTGACAACAACTTAACAATGAGGCAGCAATGTGCCTTCGTGGCCGAGAACGCAAATGGGCTCCTGCATCAGGAGGAGCGTTGCCGGCTGGTCAAGGGAGGGGATCCTGCTGCTCTGCTCAGCTCTGGGGAGGCCGCAGCTGGAGTATTGGGTGCAGTTCTGGGCTCCCCAGGACAAGGAGGACATTGAGCTTCTAGAGAGGGTCCAGTGTAGATCCATGAAGATGGTGGAGGGACTGGAGCAGCCATCGTATGAGGAAAGACTGAGTGAGCTGGGCCTGTTTAGCCTGGAGAAGAGAAGGCTGAGAGGATGATCGAGGGACTGAAACATTTACCATATCATAGAACCATAGAATCATAGAATCGTTAAGGCTGGAAGGGACCTCCAGAGAACATCTAGTGCAACCCCCCTGCACACGCAGGGTCACCTAGAGCATGTGGCACAGGACTGCGTCCAAGCCGGTTTTGAAGATCTGCAGAGAAGGAGACTCCACAACCTCTCTTGGCAATCTGTTCCAGTGCTGAATCACCCTCACTGTTAAGAAATTTTTCCTTAAGTTCCTAATGAACTTTTGGTGCTTCCGTTTGTGGCCATTACCTCTAGTTCTGTCAGTGGCCACCACTGAAAAGAGACCAGCACCATCCTCCTCACTCCCTCCCTTGAGGTACCTATAGACACTGCTCAGGTCCCCTCTCAGCCTTCTCTTCTCCAGCTGAACAGGCCCAGCTCCCTCAGCCTCTCCTCATAGGGCAGATGTTCCAGGCCCCTGATCATCCTCGTAGCCCTGCGCTGGACTCTCTCCAGCAGCTCCACATCCCTCTTGTACTGTGGAGCCCAGAACTGGACACAATACTCCAGATGTGGCCTCACCAGGGCTGAGTAGAGGGGCAGGATCCCCTCCCTCGACCTGCTGGAGATGCTCTTCTTAATGCAGCCCAGGATTCCATTGGCCTTCTTGGCCACGAGGGCACACTGCTGCCTCATGGTCAACTTGTTGTCCACCACGACGCACAGGTCCTTCTCTGCAGAGCTGCTCTCCAGAAGGTCAGTCCCCAGCCTGTACTGGTGTTATTCCTCCCCAGGTGCAGGACCTTGCACTTGGCCTTGTTGAATTTCATAATTTCACAACTTTCCTGTGAGGGTGACAGAGCCCTGGAACAGGCTCTCTTTCTCTGGAGATCTTCCAAACCCGCCTGGATGCCACCCCGTACCCCGTGGTCTGGGCATCCCTGCTGGAGCAGGGAAGTTGGACTAGATGATCTCTAGAGGTCCCTTCCAACCTCAACCATTTTATGATTCTGTGACGATTTAACATACTGTTGTTATGTATATATGACATTTAACCTACTGATATTTTCCATCATTTTTCATTCTGGTATTACCAAGCTGTTTGTCTTCATTTTATCAATAAAATTATAAAAATGAGTCTTGCATAGTACCAGATCCAGTATGTATGGAGGATTAAAGAGAGCCTTGCATGGATTTGGGAACTCCTTCCCACCTCCAGCTTACATTTATGGTGTTTGGATACAAAGGAACTTACGCCTGCATGAGCAATAGGGGATGGGCATTCATAACAACGCTCTTAACAAACACACTGTTGCACTTAGGTGTGACATGTGGATGTTTATTGCAATCCTGCTTTTGATACGAGCACCTGTGAACTCCAAGGATATCATCGGGAAGGAAAAGGAAGTAAATCCAGAGACATTCATGAATACTGTAAGTCTGGAGAAGTTCACTTTCCCGCTAAGTCTGAAAATGTGCAGGTGTGTAGCTGGGGAGAGAGTGTTGCAAAAGAAGGTATGAGGCTTGAGTTACTGTGGTCATCACCAGGTGTGCTGGTTTTGTTGAGCCGTATAACGTTGTATTGTCTCCACCCCTTCATTAACCAGTCCTGCTTCCTGAACGACTCTTCTTCCTCCCAGCAACATCAAGTGTAATTATAAGCAGATCAGCCAGAGGAGGAACTAATCCCATGAGTATATTCGATCAGACATCTTCCTTGAGGGTACAAGATTTTGAATGTTCTTCTCCTGGTTCAAACAGTTTGTCATTTTTCTCTAACCCTTGATAAGGCAGGATCTCAGCCAGGAATTATGAACCCCAAAAGCTATCCTATAAAGAACAAGTGAAGATAGTGCTTTACAAAGCACAAGTGCACAATCACAACCAAGCTGGTGGCACCCTGTTTGGGGGTCTCCAGCCTGACCCCAGCTCACAGCAGGGCCAACGTCGTAGCTACAGCAGGTTGCTTGGAGCTGTGTAAGGTGTCTCAGAAGGTCTTAAAAGTCTCTGACAATGTATTGAGATGGACTGAGGAGTTTGGCATAAAATTGCCAACATGGCTCTCTCCTGCCAACCACATGAAAAAACAGGCATAACTATGTGTTGGTAGGATCACATCTCAATTTCACCAGGTTGGACTTTCCCAATCAGTTGAATTTTAACCATTAATTAAGTTTAGGTGGAATAGCAGGAGTCCTGCCAAATCCTATAGAGCTTCTCTTACTGCCGTGAGAGGCTCTTCCAGTCAGCCCAGCTCTGCTATTTACATAAACTTGTGATCTTATCTGCTCTGCAATCTGGCTCTAAGCAAGACATAACATATTTTGCTACGAATATCAGATGCCAGTAACCTCTCTGTTTTCAGTCTTCATTTTTGGAAACGTTTTCCAGAATGTATATTCATTGGCCACATCACAGCTGAGTCCCGCTACCATCTCGCCCCTTGCCCAGTTCAGTCCTGTTTAAGTAGCTGCTCACTGGCATGAATTCGAGAGTGCATGTGTCATTTTCCCTTGTAGTCTGCATTGCTTGAGCTTTATTTTTCCTGAGATACTTCTGTTTCATGCAAGCCATTTGAAAAGACATGCCAGCTGATAGGAACGCACTCCAAATCAAACAAAACATCTTAGCTATGAAAGTTTTCCCAACTTCGGTTTTCTTCTCTCAGAGTCAAATGATCTGCTACCAAGGGTACCCGTGCGAGGAATATGAAGTTCTGACTCGTGATGGTTATTACTTGGCACTGAGCAGAATCCTTCATGGGAGAGAAGATCCTAGGAACAAAGGTACGACTGTATCGGACAAGCAAGCCAGCAAAAAGAAATGGCATATCAAGCCACCGCCTAGGATCCAAGGGAAAGGATTAACTTTATGAGGTCAGGGGGACTTTTCGTGCTAAAGCAAAAATCCCAGACCCGTGGAACTTCTGTGATTTACAGTCAAGGCTTTTTCAGCCACCATAGGAAAATGTGCTTGCAACACAGGAACTGTCTTTGACAAGAAGCAATGACTTGGTTTTGAGGCTGTTAAGGTACAAAAAATCTGAAGAGAGATCCTTGTGGGGTTATTTTGTTTGTTTGTTTGCTTGCTTGCTTTTCCATAAATCCGTGGCAGTTGCATTTTAACTGTTTCAGGGACCAGGCTGAGCTTTTGAGGTTTCTCATGGTTGTCATGACCAGATGGGCCTTGCCCACCAGCCTGAGACAACTAGAGGAACAACCACAAGGCAACTACAGCAAAGGTTTCTTAATCTCTCTGGTTTAATCCTTTCTCTCCAGATTTTCTCTTCAACAGCAGATATTGAGATATAGAAAGGTATTGTACATTCTCCCATAGTAACACTGAGGTTTTGTAGAGGCATGAGTATAACAGAGAAAACTGGTTTAATGAAATATGCTGTTTCTTTTGCATCCAGGCCCCAAGCCAGCTGTGTTTCTTCAGCACGGATTTCTTGTAGAAAGCAGCAACTGGGTGGAAAATCTGGCTAAAAACAGCCTCGGCTTCATCCTAGCAGACTCTGGCTATGACGTCTGGCTAGGAAACAATCGTGGGACCACCAACTCCCGGAGACACAAGCACCTTTCAGTTGACCAGGAAGAATTCTGGGATTTCAGGTAGAATAAGGATTACAAAAGCCAGCAAATTTTTCTGCCTCTCGCTAACCTCTAGACAGAGGCGGGTGCCTCCAGGCAGGCAAGTCAGTGTAGCTAATTCCCCCACTGTGGCCTCCTCCAAAACTCCCCGCAGAGGAGCACGCGCAGATGTTGGAGGTACCAGCGCAGACTTGCCTTGTGACAGCGCTAGCATCTCCGAGCAAGCGCCCAGCCCTGCCAGGAGCGCAGAGTGCTGCTGCCTGTGTATGGAGACACTGCAGGACCCTGCAAGGACTTCCCAGGCCAAACCTTCCAGCAAGGTCCCCGCAAGCAGTGATGCAAGATCCACATGTCCCACATCTTGCCTAACCCAGCCATGTGCCACACAAACCACGTCCCCCAGAAGGGGCAGGGTGGCTCAGGTAGTGAACAGAGTGTGCCTGGCCCTGGTGCCCCCATGTCACCAGTTCAAGGAGGCAAGGGATGTGGTTTTAAACTGCCACTGCCTATCCAGAGCTGATCACAAGCACGACCCTCCTTTTCCCAGGCAAATAAATATGCTTGAAGTAGAAAGGTTAGCAAAATAGGTGCACTGTGAAATACAGAGATGACTAGAAATGTGGACGAGCAGCTGTAGCACATGGTCAATTCAGCTCGTTTTAGTGCAAGATTGTGATTCACCACATCATGCCAAAAACTAATAAGCAGGAACTAGCTCTCCAACCCCTTCTGAGAAATAGCATCTTCTAGAAGCAGACATGACTTTGGTACCCTGATAGGAGCCAGCTCTGGGTTTTCAGAGTTCGCTGTATTGAAACCGTACTGGGGTATTGCACTGCTAGTCATGGTCTGCACAATTTATCAGCAGCTGAACAGTGTTAAGAGGAGAACTAAGGCATTTCAAGGAGGGTCAAGGCCATTGCAGAAAGAATATCCTTGCATGCTTTTTAGTTTCACCAAGTACAAGGTTCCCTGTGGTAATAAGAATTTTCCTTTGGAAAATTAGCCTCAGATATTAAGCCCATTAATGCAAATCAGTCAAAATTCGCAGCTTTTGGTCTTACAGTGTTACCATGTAACTAATGCACTGTTACTGTATTTCAGTTTCCATGAAATGGCTATGCATGACCTCCCAGCAATGATCAACTTTGTTCTGTGGAAGACTGGACAGAAGCAAATATATTACATCGGCCATTCCCAGGGCTCCTCTATAGGTGTGTTAGGAAGAACTGAGTATCATCTTTCTCTTTTCAGCATGGGAGACTTGGCCCTTTTTGAGGTCCTTTTACAAGGACAACCTTGAAAACTTGCATTTTGGAATTTGAAAGCAGACGTGTAGAACATGCCTATCTTTGCAGGCCATTGAACCTGCACCCTAAGACAACATCCCGGGTGTGTCTTGCAGTGAGAAGTCCCACTGCAGTCAGGGTTTCCATAAGAAATCTGTGTGGACCAACATGTTCCTGAAGAATAGAAAAGTTCTTGGTGGCTTCTGATCAGCTCCACTTCTAGTAAGCTCCTAGTTCCCAATAGGTCATTTTACTATACTTCAGCCTAGAAAACTTAACTGCCAGTGCTCCACAACAAAAGGGAAGGAATTTTGCATTGAAGGTCACAGTTTTTACTTTCACATGAAACACAGGCTATTTGTTTTCACTAGCCAGGCCAGCGTATTTATAAGACAACCTTTAGGTTCACTCTATCCATTAGTAGTAAGTAATGGAAGATGACAGTGCTGTTCTCTTCATCTCGATAACGTGGCAGGAGTTGGTGACAGTCATTAAAGCATTTTATCAGCCACATCTAACTATAAAAGTAAAGAGGTTGCCCCACTTTAAATATCTCCTACACTGACATTAAACAGAAGGGAGGGAAGAGACACACATCCCAGATTTCTAATTCAAAGCTCTAGATGAACATGTAGATTAAGCATCTGAACAGAGATTAACAAGTCACAGGTTGCTTTTCTGTTAAATTTGCTCTTCTCTTTTCTCAGCATTCATAGCATTTTCGTCCATGCCAGAACTGGCTCAGAAAATCAGGATATTTTTTGCTCTTGCTCCTGTAACAGTAATTAAGCACGCCAAAAGTCCTGTCACGAAAATACCATTCCTCCTTGACAGCCAGTGCAGGACACTTAAGGTATGAGATTGCGCTATATTCTGCTCCACTGAACACATCAATGTTAGAAAAGATATTGTACCCAGCCACGACCCCTGAGCTAGTTGATTTATTAGGTACAAATTCAGGTGCAGGAATGTTACTGCATGGTCACTTCATTGAAATTATGTCTTCCTGCTCTCTCTTGTCTTTTCATGTTTTGAAAACTGTTCTTGGGGGGTACTTAAGAGATTCTTGGCCAGACCACCTTGCAATGCTCAGTTCTACTGCGTATAAAATTGTTGGTCTCAGTGAAAAATGAAACCAAAGCTTGGCAGATGCAGTAGAAAGAAGAGGTGCCCGAACATTCATTTTTCTAGTGTGTATTCAATGAGCACATCAGCATGGCATGAGCAGTGCATCCCTGAGCGAGTTGTACACATCTCACCAAGGGCAGGAGCATAAATGGGAAGCTGGTTGCACTGCCATGGGTATCCTGGGAAGTATGTCTCTTCACTGCATAGTTCATGGGACAACTCCTGAGGGCGTAAGCACATCTCTAGCCAACCATGGGTGAAGGAAAGTCAATGGAAAGTTAGGCTGCAGGAAAGGGAATACAAGATGCTAATTTTGCCCTTCGTTTTTACAGTTTTTTCTTGGCAAAACAGATGCCTCCTTGAGAATAAAAAAGTTGCAGAAAATGCTACCTGAACTGTGCCGCCACTCATTCTTTCACAAGTTCTGCGCTAGCCTGTTTTTCCTTGTGGGTGGCTGCAATGAGAAGAATTTCAATATGGTATGTATGCGTGCACATTTTCCTCTGCTGCCTTCAAGTGTGGGCTGGGAGGAAGCTGTAGCATCAGGCATTCAGCAGCCAAGAATGTCCAGCACCACTATCTGAATTATCAGCTGGCTGCCTCTGTGCAATGTGCTCTAGGTCACCCTGCTTGTGTGTGGGGTTGGACAAGATGATCTCTTAAGACACCTTCCAATCTTAATGCTTCCGTGATTCTTAGTATTTCTACATTTGAGCTATCTGTCATCAAGAGACCAGAAGCATCCCCCAAGAGTATCACAGAGTATCTGATGTGCAGAGCCACTATTGCCTGCTTATAGCTCCTAAGCAGAGTCTAGAGAACCGTGGATAGTCCTAAGGTCCTGCACACAGCTACTGTGCTAAGACATGGTTCCCACAGCTCAGCTCCAGCTACAGTCTCCAGGGACCTGTTACAGCACCAAGCCCAGGTTTAGTAGAAATTCATTCACATGGTTACTTGATGTCCTTTTTCAACCGAGAGGAGGTGACCAGCTTCCAAAGGCCACTTGATTTCAGGGAGGTGATCTGCACTCAAAGGTGGGGAGCCAAGTTCTGCTGACCTGCCAGGAGCTGTCTTCCACCTGTGGAGGAAGGGAGACTTTGATGAAGATTTATGATTGATGATCAAGATGATAGAGTTTACTCATGGACTGTTTCCTTCCTTCTCCAGACCCGTGTCAGAGCAACTGATTTTTATCAGAAGTTCTACTTCAGAAGCCAATCTAATTCTCTGAATGTTGTGACTTAGCACTTGTTGGTCTGGAAAATATATCTTCTGTGAACAGGCTTTCTCCTGTCCCTCTTCCAGCAAAAGCAATGATATTGAATATGTTTCCTTGCAGAGCCGATTGGATGTGTATACAGCCCACTTTCCTGATGGGACATCTGTTAAAAATATGATACACTGGGCTCAGGTGGGTTCCCTGAACTATGTAAATGCATATGCTTCTCCCCCTGGCTGGTCTCTCCACTAACAGTCTTATGTGTTCAGAATAGATGTGGAAGGTGAACCCAGACATGACCTCGAGCAATCTGCTGGAAATCAAATGGTTGCTCTGTAGAAAAGGCAGGAAATCTGTATTTAGCATTTGTGGGGAGGTGGTATTAGACCTGAAACAGCTCATTCAAACACCCTCTCTGTGATATGGTCCCTCAAGGAGGCTTTGAAACCCCAGGCCCACCTGTGAGTGACACTCACCAGTCTTGCTGTGTGTCTAACTTGAGATCTATCTTCTCTTCGTAGGGGGTTAAATCAGGAAGCTTCAGAGCTTTCGACTACGGCAGTGGTAACCAAGCCATGTACCACCAGGTAGGGGGCCAAGTAAGAGGCCAGAGAAGCAATTCTGGTTTCCAGAGAAGGGAGATGGGAACACTACGCAGGTGGAGGGCCTAGGAGAAAACCTGTGGCCTCTGCATTCACCTCATGAACAGTCTCCCTCTGAAACCATGTCTAGGCCTACCCAAAGTCCCATCATGCATGTTGAAGGGCCTAGTTGGCTCGTAAGGGTTGGTGGCAAACGTGGTTTCTCAGGGATGACCATGCCTCTCCAGGAGACACCTCCCCCCTACAAGATTGAGGAGATGCCTGTGCCGACTGCAGTGTGGTCAGGGGGCGAGGACTGGTTAGCCGACTGGAGGGATGTCAGCCTTCTCCTGCCCCGCATCGCCAACCTTGTTTACTACAGGAACATCGCTGACTGGAACCATTGGGATTTCATCTGGGGCATGGATGCTCCTAAGCGCCTCTACCACGAAATTATTGAGCTGATGGAATTGTTCTAGTAAAAAAAAACCAGCTCCTAGGCTTAGTGTGGAACAGGCCACTGCTGGGAGATGCTGGTGGCCTGAGCCCTTTCCCACCTCCCAGGGAACCCTGCTGGGGACAGCACAAGGAGCTGTGAGAAGTGCCCCTTCCCCCGGTCTGTCTGCTTAGCACCTTCCTCATGCTAGTCTGAAACACTTGTCCCAGTGCTTCCTGCTTATCCTTCATCCATGAGGATCTGCCCCTTCTTTCCTGAGAGTTTCTCGTAGACTACACTCAAGATATGACCCTCTTAATGGCCCAGGGAGGCCCCACTGAGTCTGAGATCAGTGGGGCAAGGACAAATCTCAGGGAACATGGCCCAATAGACACCAGGAAGGCTCTCACTAATGTCAGTTGGCCCTTGGGGACTGTTGGGGACAGAGATGGGGACATCAGCAACCCTTTCATCTCCTCACAGACAAGGGCTCAAAACCTCACAGGGCTTCTGAAGTCCCCCAAGATGCCCCTAGAACCACAGCCCTTCTTGGGTCATCTCATGCGGTATGAGCAACTGCCAGGGGAACTCCTAGCAAGGCCAGTGACAGCATCTTAGCTAGCTCTGCTCCCCGAGCCTAGTGTCTGTCTGCACTCTTTAATCCTGGGGCTTAAGGACAGATCCCTCGGGATGACGCAGTGAGACAGTGTGGAAGCACTGGGGAATTCCCTCTGTTAAGCGGGAGCGGACAACTCCAGCAGATGTCAGACGGACATCGCTTGTGCCTCAGGGCTGCCACGACGCTGCTCTGCAGGTGGGCTTGCTTTCCTGCTGTTATGCACCGCCTCCATTCACGCGCCCGTCCTGCTGCTTACTGGAAAATGACAGTGGCAGGAAAAAAAAACCCTCTCACCAAAGAAATGTTTGAAGGGGATTTTTCTTGCATGGGATGAACTTTTCTGTGGTTTGAGGGGTGTGGGAAACTATGGGCCTGGAGGGATTGGCCAGGGCGCGTGTTTAGAGCCAACACGGGGAAAAGGTCTGCTCAGCAGACAGATGGTGCTGGCCCCAGATGGAACCCAACAGAGGAGCAAACATGAGCGTGGAGATTGTGCTGATGAGCAGGGACCTCTCTGCTCCCACATTCCCTGCAAAGCAGGACCCTCCCTGCCCTGCTATACGGACCACAGCCAGTCGGAAAAGTCTTTGACAGATCATTACATGGAGCCTGTTTGATTCGCAGACTCCTTTGAGCTCCTTGTCCCTGTGTGACTTGTGGCCCTGGGTTCTGGTGGGCAGAGAACCTCCTTCTCCCGCTGCAGGTGCACAGGGCGGCCACTGCTGCTCTTGCAGGGTCTCCAGCCACAGGCAAGGCACCTGCACGGCTGCAATCCCGTGAGCTTGCAGGAGCAGGGGGTGGCCTCCTTCCTGCCATCTGGTGGCCGGATGTACTACGTGGAGACCTAGTGCCAGCCCCAAGGGCCAGCGACCCTGTCAGTCTCAACACCCCAGGCTGGCCCAGAGCCACTGCAGGAGAAGAAGGCAGCTGTGGGAGGTGAGGGGCTGATCCTGGTTGGGATTTCCTCCCAGCGGGCTATGCTGCTCCTTTGGCAAAGACAGAGGGCTGCCGTGCACCCGAAGCAGCACGCGCGTGCTGGGAGAAACGTCGCCTCCTGTCAGCACAGCGCCCCGCAGGGGAGGGAGCGCACGGGGCCATCGCCTCCCACATCCTGCAGGAAGCTAAACTCATCGCACAATGGCTTTTCCTTCCCTATTAATATTTTCCAGCCAAGGGGAGGCATTAGGTTGTAGGAGGAGAGGAAAAGCAGTGGCAGAAGGCCCTGAAGACCAAGTGCTCTGTGGGTCAAATGGACCTGGAGGTGCCCTGTGTGCAGGGCATTTAGCTGGGCTCTGCTTCGGCTTTGATTTCAGGGCCTCAGCTTGGCTAGGGGAAGTTCTAATCCCGGCATATCCACGTTGATGTGGTGGGTCATGCCTGGAGTAGCTAGCTGGGGGCATGGCTGGACCCAAAACCTGAGCGATCCTCAGGGTCTGCAGCACCGGGGACGCACAACAGGCCCTGCTCTGGAGGAGGCAGCTTGAGAAAGGATTTGCTGGCTGCTGAGACCTGCAGTGGAGCTCCACACACCATGCTCCTTCCCCACGGACTTGCCACGCAGCCTGGGACAGGGAGGGCTTTGTGAGGCCCTGATGCACCCCTACCCCAGGCCAGCCTGCATTGGTCCTGCTTGCAAACGTGTATGAGGGTGGTTGGAGTCAGAGGTTTGGCCCTGGGCCAGCGGGGAAGCTGAAGGATTGCACGTGGGCTTGGCTGCATCCCAGCACATTTCCTGCCCACCTGCATCCTCTGTTTACTCCGGGACTTGGGGCCTGGCAGGGTGCCCTTGGCCTTAGTTGGCCTCAAGGCGGAGAGAGGAAGCCCAAGAGGAGCAAGCCCTCCCTGCCCTTGTTCGCTTGAAGTGCCGCCCCATGAGAGCTGGACTTTTGTGCCCGAGAGTCCACTTCACCCTCCCCACATCTGAGCACTCACAGCTCCGTCCTCAACCCGAGCAAGCTACAAAGATGCCAACACAGACGTCTCTGCCCCAGCGCTTTACCCGCTCCCCACCACTGCTGGGTGTGCTGGGGTGACCTGGAGGCACCAGGGACACGTGCCAAGGGAGCCCCAGCAGGCACAACCCTCCCCAGTAGAAATGAGCACTGGTAAGGAGCCACTGGGGAGCCTCTGTCCTGCAGAGCTTTATTCATGTCCATCACAACTCATAAATCACAGGCAAGCACGGGCGCTGGGGCCGGCCTGGCCAGCCTCTGATGGCAGAGCCGTGCAGGGCTACCCGCCTGCGGGACCGCTGCCAGCGACATGGCCTCTCTGCAGGAACAGACAGGGGGACAGCAGCGAACGGCCCGGGGGCTGCGTGCGGCTCTGACTCGGGGGCTGGCTGTGCGGGATGAGCTGCAGTGCTTCTCGTCTGCTGCTTGGGGCCTGCCGGCCCGTAGAGCCATGCCAGTGGGTCCGCAGCGCTGGGGAGCCCCGCGGCGCACTGCCGCCCGCTGAGCCGGGCTGCGCTGTCCTGCAGCG